TATTAAATAGGGGAACTTGTCGGCCAATACATTGGTTTCGCAGACCAAACATATGTCATAACTTTCTTTAGTTTATTTAATCGAGTCTCACCCTCAACTCTTGTGTTCATCCTTCGGGATAGATACATGATTTGAGGTAAAACGCTTTTTCATCTAAACTATGAAAATTATGGGTCAGTTTGACTTCATCTTTTTCAAAACTAAAATTTTTAAAACGTCCTTCCGAAGCGGGCAACGGGATTTCAATTCCGATGACCGACAGCTTCTTACGGGCAAACCCCACACCAAAAATAGTGCCGACATACATCAACAAAAAAATCAAATATTAATACGAATATAAGGCAAATCCAAGCAATCCCTATGTAGCAACTGAGACAGCTCCACAAGAATCCTGTTGGATATAATAAACTTCTGTGAATCCAATTCATTCTTAGCAGCCCAATTAGCACATTGGTTGCCCTCACGATGAATAAAAGACTACTGAATATGTAAAACACTTTGAAAAGTAAATTTTTTTTTTCATATGATTAATCATAAATCAAGGATACTCCATGTGTAATTTGTAAATATTCCAAAGCACCAAATAATTCTTTTCAATCACAACTTTGTTCCAACCGTAGCAAATAGAAATATTCAAAGCAGTTATAATCACATCTGTTTCATCAAATAAAGAAGAAGACACAACAGTAGGAGCAGAAAACCACAATAAGCAGTTACTAGAATAATTGCTGCAAACACCTCCGATACCAACCAAACCGAAGCCAGCCAAAGACTTCTTCAAGCTACCATCCGTATTAAATTTAACATAACATTCCTTAGATTTATTTCAATAAATCATATTAAAGTAAATTAAATATAAATAAATGAATAAACTTATAACTTAAAATAACATCTATTAATGGCTATAAACCACAAATAATATTTATTATTTCGTCTTTCATCTTTCATTTATAAATAGATGAGAAATTGAGCTTGAATGTGGATGGAAATTTTTACTTCTCTCCTAATTTCTCCACAAATTTTCTTCTTCTCTATGGGAAACAAGTGACATATGATTAATTCAAAGTTTTTGCTGAATAATTGTGGCACAAGCACAATCATGGAAAAGTGATGGATTAAGTCTCTAAAGTAAAAACGAGAGCCACAAATTGATATGCTAAAGACTTGATCTATTCTAAGGATAGCGTCATCGACATTCCTCCTTACAAAACTATTTCAAACTCATTACTTTTATTTTTTTTGCTTAATTGTTTTGAATTTATTTCTTATTTTTATATTGAGAAATTACATTATAGTTCTAACATGATATAGTTTACTATTAAAAAGATGAATAATTTGATTTATGCTATTATCTACACACTATTTTGTGAAATGAAGTGATAAAATTTAGCGTTAGGAATATGAATAATTTTTTTTATATTATATTTGTATTATTTCATGAACTTGCATAAAGAAAAAAGTCATATAATTCAATGCAGGGATGATGAATAATCTTTTAATATTAACAAAGCGTTATAATTTAATGATGAGAATATAAATAATTGTTTTATATTAGTTTCATATAGTTTAATGTTGGGCATAGGAAAACATTTATTTTAATAATTGCTAAAAATGAATAATTTTTTAATATTATCTCGAAAAGTTGAGGAAGAGCATGTAACACAATTGAAGAGCAATACAAGAAATTTTATAGGGAACACAATTAATACATAAAACCTTTGAACGGTCGAAAAATAAATCATTATAATAATTATAATTTAAGGGTTTTATATTAATATTTGGATGATCATTAATTTGAGAGCCAGAATTTCACATGGAATATTCTCTTAACTTAAAAAATGATAGCAGTGATACTAAAAATTTAAATGTTACATACCAAAATATTAAAATTTTGGTATTAGGTGTACAAAATATAAGATGGATGTATGGATCCAATTTTTTTTTAGCCGGTCTCGTCCGGCCCGGTCCATATCTTTGTCTTGTGGCGGTGGGCCCACGTATTGAGATCCAACACCGCCAAAGTTGACGATAGTCCACTTCATGGCTGTTATCAGCTATCCAGTGGCATTAATGTAATTTTTAATATTCTTTTCGTAATAATATAATCTCCGGGAGCAGAGACACGAGAGTAATTAAATTTAAAATATACAAAAAGAAATACACTTTTTCCAGTGGAGTGAGCGAAGCGAGAGAGAGAGAGAGGAAACTTTGCTTCAGAGGAACCTCCATTAAAGAACGAGAAGCCCTAACGAGGTTGGTTATCTGTCCCTCATTCCTCATCTTCACAGTCAATTATTGTCTTGCTTGCTTCCTTGTTTCCGAAGTCTGCTCTGACTTTGGAATCGCTGGAAGTAAAGGCGTTCACGGCCGGTGGAGTATTTGCCCGATCTGCTTCGGAGCAGCATCAGTAGGTCAAGTTCAGCCATTTGGAACTGGTGCTTGAGTGTCTTGATCGATGGGAGGGAGCGGCTTGGCTGCAATTTGGAGAAAGAAAACCCTAGGCAAAGTGGGTTCGGGAAAGGTGAGGAGGGTTTTCTCTTGGGCTTGTGGGGTGGAGAGGTGGTTGGCATTGAATGTGGTTACAATGTGTTATCACTCGAGTTCAGCTGGTTTAGCTTTTGTTTTATTGTAAATTGGTCCGACATACTTTGGCTGTTTCTTATATTTTCATACTTCCGTTTTATCTGTACTAGATTTATGGGTTTCTCTATCCTTGTATAAGAATGCGAGCAATTTGGTTTGTTTCAATTTGTAGTTCAAAGATTTATACCTGCTTTTGGGGGAGAAGCAGACATTCCTCTGATTTTAGTGGCCGCTGACCGTGTACCGAAAATGTGTTGTACCAGTGCTTTTGCATACTTGTTGTTTCTTGTACCACGGAATGGTAAATTGTTTTTGTTGAACTGCAGGCTGCCAAGAAAATGGAGAATAGTAATGTGCTGTCTGTTGTGAGATGGGAGCGGGGGCATTGCTATTTTCAGTATATTTTCACCATTACTTTGGTTCATGAAGAAATGAAATTGCTGGGATCTCTGTGAAGAAAGCAATTCGTAGTCAAATATGGCACCTTCATCCACACTGAGATACTCACAGGGGTGGGAATGCATGGGAGAAAACGGTCACAAGAGGTGCAGAAGTTTTGAGAGTGGATTGACTTTTAAAAGCAAGGATGATGATCTTGCGCTGTTCAATGAAATGCAAAATCAAGAGAAAGATAAATTCCTTCTCCATACAGCTGATGATTTTGAGGAATCTATTTGTAATTCCTCGTTTAGCTGCCTTTTTGAACTGTTTCATTCCTGCATTTTTTTTTAAAGTTTTTTGGACTTATGCTTAATAGTGCAACTTATCTGAAAGCTTTCCTTTCTTAACGTTCTCACAATTTATCAGCAAAGTTGAGGCATTTCTCTGACTTCAAGCTTGGCATCAGCATTCCGGCTAGAGGCGAGAGCGATTTGCTTAATGTGGAAGGTGAAAAGAATGACTATGATTGGTGAGTTATTCTCATGTTACATGATATTAGTTGCTTTTTTTTCTTGTCTAGTTATCGTATATCTGAGTAACATTGTCAAGGAGACTGAAACTCTTTTCCCTCAAATATGTCACCTTCTTTGTTTCCTTTTAACTTACTCTACAATTTTCCAAACAGTTGTAATCATAATCCGATGGTAATGAAATTTTCATATTCATAAATAGGCTGTTAACCCCTCCTGATACACCTCTCTTTCCATCATTGGATGATGAGTATCCACAAGTGGTCAATCCTGCAGCTAGAGGTAGGGCAGGAAGCCAATCGATTACTTCGAGAATAGCGGTTAGTTTATCCCTTTTTTTATTCATTTCCTTAACCCCTTGGTAAAATTTAGTTCCTGTATCATCTTTGGCATGGTGCTGCACGGCTCTCATTTGTTATTTGTTGTAATAGGCTGATAAGAGGCACCAGACAAGTTCTAGTCCATGCAGACTAAGTCCATCTCCCCGATCTAATGATACTTTAACACAAATGAGAGGGAGGACATCTTCCATACCTCGATCTAGTCCACCTCCTTCAATCAGGTCCGGAACACCAACCTGTAGGTCCTCCACACCTCCAAATAAGCAATCCTCACTTACTCCAAGGTCCTCAACTCCAACAGTTCGAAGAGCAAGCACTAGTTCTAACATTCATTTATCAAACTACAGAGGAAGAGGGACCTGTCCAGCGAAGGCAGGTTGTGTGAACCCTGCTTCACCAAAAGTACAAGGGTGGCAAATGACCCTACCTGGTTTCACATTCGAGGCACCTCCAAACCTGCGAACTTCTTTATCAGATCGATCAGTGTCACATACAAGATGTTCTTCTCCAGCATCTGCAAATGGGAGGGTATCATCACGGAAGTTTGGAAGGAAATCAATGTCACCAACTAGTTCAAGTCTCAGCTCATCAAATGGTCAAGAAAGAGACTGCTTTAGCTCTTATAGTAAGCGTTCTATGGTGTCCTCTGGTGATGATGAGGAATCACTGCACTCTATAAAAATGGGAATCTCTAGAAGCTCTCCTGCTAGAAAAGATGGAGCTCTGGCAAGCAACAAAGCCATGTCATATACTAGAAAACCATCTAGATATTCAACAACAAATTCTGTACCCAAAAGATCCTTTGTTCCAGCTCTAAGACTGATGGTATGATCCTTTTTCTTCAATGCAATTTGAATTTTCTTCGCATAACCTGACCTAAACATGAATTACTATATTATTTTCATCTTTTTTTAATGTTTGACATCCTATTATTATTATTGTTGTTATTATTATACTTATTATTTATTATTATTTATGATTATTATTATTCCTGTTATTATTATTTTTTTGCAGCATTATCTACACTTGCCTGCTTATTGAAACCTATTAATCCCTAAACCTCATAAAAAGGTTTTTTTTCCCAACCCTTATGAAAAACTTTGCATAAATAAATTACCACCAATGAATGAGGTTGATTGAACTCTTCGTATGAAAATATTGGACTTAGTCGGACTTGATATCCCATGCCCTTTAGGATGTTTCGTGACTTACAATTATGTATTGCATATATACTACCTTTAGAAGTAAGATCAATGCTGTTTATACTTTCTAATTTTCAAAATCATTAAAATTAGAGGCATACATGATTTTAACAAATATAAGATTGTTTGATAATCCTTCAGATGCATAGAATGTTTGCTTATTGATGAACAACTTGGTTGGCTTGAGAAGAAATTTATGATTTTCACATGACAGAGTTATAAGAAGTCTCTGAAATTTGAAACATGGATTGCAAATTATATCCATAGCATAGTTGGTGGTTTTGATCGGTAAAATAACTATATGATAAATCGAGCTTTCTATTTAGGTTTCTACCTGCTTTCTATTCATAACCGCTTTAAATGCTTTTTGAATTTTTAAAGTTTATTTAAAATTTATGAAACTCCATCTGAAGTTATTTTTTAATGGTATAAATGAATATCAACAATGTCTTTGCATCATGAGTTAAGTTTTATGACCATAAAATGTGTGTATTTAAGAATAAATTTGGGAGGCATTTGTTCTCGTATTAGACAGAGAAAAATAGATTTATGTGTGTATTATTTATGCAGTGGTTGTTGACTTTTAAACATTGATCTTTGATGCTTAACTAACAAATAGGGTTATTGAACTCATGGATTATGTGTAATGTCGTGGGATATTGGAATGGCATAATGTCGGTTTTGTTTAGGAGGAGATAGTGATAAACGAGAGAGATGAAGGGAGAGTTAAGTCAAAGTAATAGACAATGTGATGTGGCACTCATGTAACTATTAATGTTGTACTCACTAGAGTAAGGTGGAGAGGGAGATGATTAGGAGGCGAAGCGAGCCATCAAGTTCTCGAGGGAGGAAGAGGATGCAGACGGGTTTAACATACGAGATCACGAGCCGTGAATGACAAGAGGATTGAATGAGAGTAAGTGAAGCAAGAGCGGCTTGCGATCGAGGGAGCGGAACAAGGAGTTGAGTTGAGTGTGAGTTGGGACTAGATTGATGTGTGAACTGAGAGCCTATGAACAATCATGCTAGGGTGGCTGTGGCCTTGAGCAGGTGCATGCTTATGCAGCAATCAAACTTTTAAGTTGGGAACAAAACACAGTTGTGAATCCAAGAGAAGGACGATATTATGCATTTGAGTGAGAGTAATAAGCTGAATTGATTGACTAGGAAGTCTTATAAGTGCCAGACAAGAGCAAGATTGAAGGGATTTAAGCCAAATTTTAAAGGTAAATTTTATTAAAATTTATAGATATAAATAAAATAAATTAGATAATAGGGAAATTCATGTATAAGAAAATTTTGATATAATACAATGACAACAACATCAAGCCTTTAACCCACTAAGTGGGGCTAGCTACATGAATCCTTCTTCTCCATTGTGTGCTATTGAGTGCCATATTTTCATTTAATCCTAATAAATATTTATTGGAAAACCATAATATAATGATGAATATTTAATTAGAAATAAAATACTAATAACAATTCAATTAGTTAATAGAAAAAATACACATTATTAAATTTTAAAATTTTTTTATCAATTATCAAAATAAAAATATGATTGTTATATTCAATGGAATAAACTTTTACAATGATAAAATTTAATAATTAACACCCTCAAATTTATATAAATGATTGTAATAACCTGTCAACAAATGGAATATTTAATTATATAGAATCTAATTCATAATAATGTAATAATATAGTTGTAATAATTTTTCAACAAATGAAAAAATAATTGGTAAAATATTAAATATCTTTTGAGGTAAATGAAATAAGGTTCAATTAAATAAAGAACACAAAGTGAAGGAAAAATTATGTGCAAGTTGTATATATTGATAAGTCATAATATCTATAGTCTAGTTAAAGTAATATGTATACTTAAAATCAACTAATAATTAAAATAATATAATTTTATAAAAGACTAATTAAATATTTAAATAATATGATTGAAAACTAATATATGTTTTGCTATTATAGGTATTAAGGGTTTGTTTGGGGTAGCTACAACTTAATAATAAGCTGCTACGAATAAGTTGACTGTCTGTTTGTTTTTTATAGTTTGAAAACAACTGTGTTGCAGCTGTTTCTGAACAAATGACCATTCTGCCTCTGTATAGTAATTGTGGTTATGTTCCTATCAATACATTTTATACTTTAAAATTAAAAATCCAGTGCTAAACATTACAAAAAAAGAAAAAACATATCACTCAACACTGAGTAATATGATTGCTAAAATTAAGAAAAAAATTATTAAAATAACAATTAATAATATGATAATATTATTTTTAAATTGTAAGCGACTTATATCACAAGCTAAGCCGTCTTTAGGGCTGTAAACGAGCTGTTTTAACATCCCTAGCTGTCCTTTAAGGATATCTCTATGCTCGATCATTCTCGGTGGTAAAATCTTCCAGCGTATTTGCCCACAAAAATAGTCACAATTTTTTATGATTATCTGCGGGCATTTATAAAACTGCCTCCCATAGCTTATCTCTATGTGTTTATCCCATAGTCAAGAAAGATAGGGATTATCTCTATGTGGTTGACGTAAAGTTAGCAGGGAACTTTGAAGTCCAGTAGCAGTGCAATATTCGGGAGGCACTAGAAATCTTTGAGCCAATCTTTCTTGACTGCTTTAAAAAAATCCCATTAGACAACACAAGTAAAAAAATGATAATAGAAGTAATTAATTATAGTTTTATGCAGCTGTGAGGACTCAGAGAACTCATTATATAAATCAATGAATCTGTCACTACAAGAGAACAACAGACCGTATAAAAAAAAGGGTTCTTGATTTCCATTAACCCATATAATATCAAGTTCGCGTGTCACATATGCATATCTCCAAATAAAACAATTTATAAGAATCTCAAAAACCTTAACCCAAAAAAAAAGAGGAACTTGGTTGCCTTCATTAAGATTTCACATGTGACACAAAATAATAGTGACAAACAGACCATCCAAAAGAACTCATAAGGTCAAACATTTCATCATAGACCTCCAAAGTCCACTAAAAAAATAAAGAAATGCAAAAGAAAAAAAACACTTACAAATTGCGTAAAAAACTAAAATAATTAATATCAAATACACAAAAAACGGAAATAAACATGAATTGTATGAAATACTGATACAATAAATATTGAATCTCTTCAACAACTATTACAATTAATAATATGATATAAACTTCAATCAACTTTCAACTATCACAAATGTAATTCGTTTTCTCAACTCTGTCATTTCGAATGCATCTTTTCCGTTTTTAGTAACATCTTTTTTGGCTTATGACAAAGACTGTCCAAGACGATACACATATGCCTCGTCAGTAATATGTTAATGATCTTCATTCGCCCTATATAATTCGATGTTATTGAATTTGATGTTATTGTGGGAAGAATGTCGCTGAATATAATTATGAAGAGTCATCGTGACAATCACAATCTGCACCTGTTTGAGAAATGGGTAATAAGACATATCGTGAAGTATAACCCATTTCATTCTTCAAATACCAAATTTCTTCTCAATAACGCAGCGTAAGGATGAATGTCTTTTGTTGAACATTTTTTTCTTGCCCCACGCGACATTGTCGACTCACTCAAAATCAGGTATTTGGTATGTAGTACAAGATAATACTTGAGATACCTTCGTTGTAATGGATACCCGACATCGGTCAAATAGTATTTACTTGATGTGAATTGAATAATTTGTGTTAAAGAAAAAAAATATTAGGCGACTAGCTCAGTCTCAAGCAAACTTATGGGTGAATATGAGAAGTTGTATTTGTTATTCCGTGTTGTAGATTTGAAAATTCAACTTTCCGTGCATTGCCCTCCCTACCAGTCATGAAAAAAGTGAAACACATGTTAAAGTCGCATACCATCATGACATTCTGCGTCGGAGACCCACAACTGATGAATGCAATCTTCTTATTATTTGGAACACGTGCATCGATGTTTGTTTAATCAATTGTTCTAATACAATTCTAGAAAGATAATGAATTGTTACGTAATTACGATATTTATATGATAATTGAATGTAATAAATAGGAGAAATTACCTTAAAATAGCATATGTTGCCCATTGTGTGAAATCTTTGTCGGTGTCCGTTTGAATATAAGATCTGTTGATTTTATGACTCGTGACGGAAAATTTACGAGTGCATTTAACCCTACTGAGAAGTATCTGGAAAGCATTTAGAAGCATTGAAATCGCTACATAGCTCTTCACATTGTTTCATTCTGCGACAATATGTATATGGTTATTGCTAACACCTCTCGCAAAGTCGTCCTGGACGAACCATAAAGTCCATGATTTCTGTGTAGTTCTTTCAACATATTGGTGAATGCCGTCTGTGTCATACAAAACATATTGCTAAATCTCATTGGGTGGCCTATAAACTCTCCAACCCATTTGTCACTAACATATGATATTGTCATACAAGGGGAGCGCTCTATGTTCGAGTTATAATATTCTTTCATTAACATACGGTAGCTGCAACTCTTATTCTGCATTTTTCTCTAGTTGCATCAATTTATTTCGTTAGTGATGTAATTAACACATAAACATTACTGAATTAGCTAAAATCATATAAGATTATAAACAAAAACAACATAAGTGAATACTATTA